AGAGAGAGAGGGAGAGAGGCACAGAGACAAAGAGGCGACTGCTGACCGTGTGTGAGTAGCTTGCGTCCGTGTGCGAACGTGTCGGTCCGCGCATATTCATATTACATATCCAAGAGTAACACCAGCGGCAGCAGTAGTGTTAGTGGCGGCGGCATCAACAGTGGCAAGACGAGCTGTGGGAAGACACGGCAAGGGGAACAAAGCAGAAAAAAAAAAGAGACAAACGGAAAACACACGAGAGCACAAAGGTAAAAAAAAAAAAAAAAGCAGCCCTCTGAAAGCTTTCAACAGTGGGCACACGTGTGTTTCTCTCAGCGTGCGTGGGCTCTGAACGATCGAAGCGGCTAGCACCATTCCCCTGCTCCTTACTGCAGGATGCTTGAGAAGTACTTAAGCGCCATACTTGTGCCGCACATTTCCAAGTACGCGGAGAACGTCGATGCGAAGCAGCTCAACGTTGATCTCTGGAGCGGCAAGGTGGCCATGCACGATCTTGTCCTGAAGCCAAGCGTGCTGGACGCGTTGCTGCAGGGCGACGGAGGCGGCGATGGCAGCGCTGTTGCCTCGCCAGAGTCCTCGACAACAGGTGGCGGCGATGGAGAAGCCGCGGCAGCACCGGCGCGTCATGCGAGACGCCTGCCGCTGACGCTTCAACGCGGCATATGCAAAAAGGTGAACATTGTGATCCCGTTCCGCAATCTGCGCTCAAAGCCGGTTGTGATGGAAATCGATGAGCTGTTTATTTGTGTGCGCGGCAACACGGAGAGTCGTGGCATCGTGCTGAGCAAGGCCGCGAAACTCGACGCGCAGGCAGCGTACAAGGAGTCTGAGTTGGAACTATTCGAGGCGGAGCGAAGACGTGCGAAGGAAGTGGCAGCCGCCGCCACCGCTACCACCACCAGTAGCAACAACAACAACAATAATAATAATAGTGGTGCTGGGGGATCTACAAGTAATGCCGCAGATTTACCAACGGCGTCGCTAACAGCTTCCGCCTCAGCGTCGCCATATGGTGCGGGTGAGAAGAGAGGCTACTTCTCCCGCCTCGGCGAGCTTATCATCAACAATATCGTCGTGAAGGTGCGGAGCGTGCACGTGCGCTACGAGGATGAGTCCACCAAGACAGTGATGGGCGCCATTCTCGGTGGTGTGCAGCTGCTGACCGTTGACAGTGCCACCGGTGAGGCAAAGTTCATCGACCCGTCTGGGCTGCAGCGCATACCGAAGCGAATGGAGTTCGAGGGCTTACAGTTCTACTGCGACGACCCGATGCGCTACGAGATGCAGCCACGCGAGTATTACATCTCCAACGTGACTGACCCCTCGCGGTGGTATGCGGCAATGCGGGGCCGCGTGGATGCCGGCGATGTGGAGATGTCCACTGTGCTTGGCCCCGTCAAGGGGTGTGTCGACGCGCACCTGGTGCTGAAGGAGTTCGTGCACACGCTTCTGCACGAGCCATACCTGGCGCTGCGTATGAAGCTTCACTGTGTCGTGGCAAGACTCAACCGCGCTCAGTACGTGTCGCTCATGCGCACGGTGTCAGTGCTGAGCAACTGGACAGGGCTGACGGAGGTGCTGTCGCGGCGGCCGCGTGTGCCCGTCATTGGCCACGCTGCGGTGTGGTGGCGCTACGCCATCAACGCAGTGCGGGCCGTCGCGGGTGCCCCACGGCGTGAGTTGCTGCTCCAGCGCATCTCGGAGGTGTGCATCGTCGACTACCACGTGCTCTACAGGGATGTCGTGCGCAAGGCAGAGATGTCGCCAGAGAAGCTGCGCGCCTACCGCTTCATCACTAGGTTCATGACAGTCTCAGACATGATTGCGGGCCGCAAGTATGTCTACACGCAGATCGCCAACGCGATTCAACTGAAGCGCAAGGACAACGAGGCCAAGAAAGCGGAGGCGCAGGCGAATGCCGACACGAAGAACACCGGCTGGTTCTCATGGTTTCGTCGCGGCCAGCGGACCCCGCAGGAAACAGAAGAGGAGGAACTCGCCTTTGAAGAGCTCGAACGGTCATACGGCATCGACCCGAACAACCCCGACGAGACAAGCACGACCATCATGGAGGTGTCAAAGCTGCCCAACTCGTACTGTTGGTTTGACGCGCAGTTCGACCTCCCGATGCTGAGCATGCGTGTCAACCTGTCAAAGGAAGAGAACGTCGTACTCATGTTACATAATGTTGGGGCACGACTCAAGAAGTTCAATGCACCAACATCCGTGCAGCTACACTTCGTCACAGACAACCTGACGCTGTCGAACCCGGTGCAGGACGACGTGATGCTTGCGAGGCTGCCGACACTCGTCGAAGGCCTCGCAGTTGCACAGTCAACGGATGACAGCATCGGTGGAAGTGGTTCGACCACCGTACAACGGCGCTTGTCATCATGTGGCGCCCCGCTGCTGGAGTGCAGCGCCGCATTCAACCCAGTGGAGCAATTGCTGGAGGACACGCATCTCAACTTCGTGATGGACCTCCGTCTGCTGCCCCTCCGCGTCGTGGCAGACCCACCAACAGTCAACAGCCTCGCCCGATTCTTTGAGTTCCCGAAAGGCATCGACCTCGCCGCTATTGTTGACAGAACGAAGTCGCTTGCTGCCTCCGTGGGACAAGCCGCGTCGAGTGAACTGCGCCTCGCCATGGCCCGCTCCAAGAGCATTAAAATCAGCGTGGATGCTACTGCACCGCACATTATTCTGCCCAAGACACTTCGTGGATCGCTAGAGGAGCCAGCATTGGCGGTCTCGCTCGGACACGTCAAGTTCGACTCCAAGCCTCTCACCGAGACAGAGAAGGAGAACCGACTTGCGACAACGCAGACCAGCGATGCGAATGAAGAGTTGCTATATTACTCGAGTAATGCGACGTTTTCAAACTTTTACGTGGAGCTCGCCCCTGTTCAAATGGCACTTGAGAAGCCTGGTACGGGATTCATGCTAGTCCCAGAGGTTGCTTTTTCTGCGGCAGTGCTGCAGCGCATCGACGACAGCAGTGAAAACCGTGAGTGGCTCATTGTGCGGATGGAGGTGCCATCACTGCGTATGGTCTGCTCCGTCAGTCAGGCGTACATGCTTTCCAGCATGATGGAGAGCTGGCTCTTGTACCTCCACGCCAATGACACGTGCTACAACGATGATCAGCTGGCGCCATCGTTGGATGGCACACAACGCAGCTGTGAGGTGACATCGTCGCTCGCCGTCAGTGCTGTTGATGGGCAGTACGTGCTATCGTGCCCCTCCGCTTCACTGATGCGCAGCCGCAAGGTTGCGGAGTCAGACTCGGACGTGCCGACTCCCGCCTCGACTACACTCGGAGCGAAGGCGCGGGAGGACATGCCGTATGTGCGGCTGCATATGACGGTTCAGGAGCTCGGTATCGTCATATTCGAGGACGACCCAGCGACACAACAGCCGCTGCCGACGCCACGCTTCACGTTGGCGTTCCGTACCGCCGTGGTAACGCTGCACATGCGTGCAGTGCAAACGCGGGTGACGATGATGCTCGAGCACCCGTACTGTCGCGATGCAAGGGAGCCGGACAACCTCATCCTCAGCGCCACGATGATACGCTGCGATTTGCAGACGGCGCCAGACAGCGCAGCACAGGTGGAGGTGGTGCTGGAGCCGTCCCTGAAGTTCCGCTTCGGCACGCCGTGCATGCAGTTACTCGAAACGGTCATGGACATCACAAATCTCATCACAACAGCCCCAGATGTCGTGCCAATGGAGGAGGTCGTGGCGTCACCTGTGCTACGGCGCCTCACGGGCGGTACGGCACCGGCGAAGAACACCCCGTTCCGCGCTATGTACGAGCAGGCGCAGCAGATTAAGCTGGTCGAGGAGCTCTGTGCTACACAGGACACACACGTGGCGCAACTGTCGCTCCGCATCGCCGGTACCGCGACGATGGAGCTGATGGACCGTCGCAAGGGCACCCAAGAGGACTACTTGTTTGCCTACCTCTCCTTCTCTGAGGTGGAGCTCTCACTAAAGAAGAACCGCGTCACGCTAGAGTTGAGCGGCGGCGTGCAGCAGGTGACGTTCTCGCTCTCCGATGCGCACGACGTCTCTCCTGCGAATCGTGTTGTGCTGCAGTACAGAGAGCCGCCTGCGCAGCCCACTGTGCCGCCAACACGGAGTGCCTCCGCCACAGCCTTGATTGCAGCAGATACCACCGTGGATAAGTGCCAACACCAAGCACAAGAGCAACAGGCACAACACGATCCACGAAAACATGCTACCTTTGCGTACCGTACGAGCCGTCCAGTAATGCCCATCTTCGAAGCGGACGGGAACGGCAAGCGATATTTGGCGAATGCAGCAGAGTTGCGCTTTTCGCGTTTCGTGGAAGTTGAAATAAGCTCCAGTGCGGTATTACTTGACGTACATAGCATCATGACAGTGATGCAGTACTTCACCAGTGGCCTCTTTGCAAATGTGGCGACGCTGGCAAGCCGGCCGCGCTACGATGGTCGTTTGGTGGTATCACCGCCCACAATGCATCCACCAACACTGCTGACAAGTCTACGCGTGTATGCACGTGATTTAGTCTTCTTCCTCCCCATAGACGCCCGTGGGAGCAGCGACAGCTGCAGTGAGGACTTCCAGGTGTCCGTCGAGCACGTCGCCCTGCAGAGCAGCCTGCTTTCGGCGGAGGGGCAGCAAACAATGAACATCTCCCTGCGCGAGATTCGCCTGTTGCGGGAGTGTTTGCCAGGGCCAGAAGGAGAGCCTGTGCCGCCGCACGTACTGATGCCAACGACGATGCTTGACGTATCGGTGAAGAGCCCACTCGACCCACTCTCAGAAGAGCCGCTGCGCGTTGAGCTGCGCGGCGATGACATTGCGCTGAACATTGCGGAGAGCGATCTTGTCGAGCTCTGCCGGCTGGCGAGCGGCAACTTGTCGCGTCTGCCAACACCACCACCACCACCAGCCTCGCCGGTTTCCACCACACCTGTCACAACAGAAAACACTTCGCCTACTATTACCACCACAGCTGCTGCAGCTGCTGCTGCTTTCGTCGTTGTTGTTAGCGGCGGCGACGGCGGCGGCGGCAACGGTGCTGGGGGTTGTAGTGAAATTTGTGACGTGGCGGAGGCGTCAAAGGCGAACGCGGGACGTGTGGTGCATGTCGCCTGGCGAGCGGCCAATGTGTGCGTGTCGCTGCTCGATGAGGCGAGTGGCGGTGCGCGGTTCCGTGTGGAGGGCAACGCGTTCGCCTTCCATGTGGCCGTGCCCGTCAATGATGTAAGTGTGCGGTGGGAGCGCTTCGAGCTGCACGACGTCCACGAGGAAACGCACCGCGCCACGATGATGGTGTGTGGGGCGAGCCGCGTGGAGTTGCGCAAAATCCTCACGACGCGCGACATCCTGCAGAAAAGCTTCGGCATGCGGGAGACGATGGCGACGGGGGTCACAGGGAACATGGCGTGTGACTACGCCGAGAGCGAGGTGTCAAGCGTGGAGCAGCAGCCCGCCGTCACCAAGATGGAGCTGCTGGAGGTCCTGACACTCGTCACTGACTTCACACTCGAGCGCTTCGCCATCTCGGACCAGTGGCTCGCAGTGTATGACTTCGTGTGCAACGAGGCTGTCATGGGGGGGCTGGCGCCACTGCTGGCAACACCGCCACCCTCAGCAGCCACAGAAACACCACCAGTGGAGAGCAGTGCAGCGGCTGGCGCAAAGCACTTCCGCTGCCTTGTGTCGACGCGGACAGTCAACGTGCCGTTCTTGACTACCTTGCGTGAGGAGTTCATTGAAGCAGACATCACTTCACTGCTCGTCGACGTCATTTCGCTCTCAAGCACCATCAGCGTGACGGTGCGGATGCAGGACCTCGTGGTGCGTCACTGTGCCACAGGCGAGCGTATTCTCTTTAAACAACCCGACACCAACGACGTGCTGGTGGAGGATGAGCCGCTGTGTCCTGGCGCCGACAACGCGCAAGTCATCTGCGGTCCCGTTGCGATGCCAGCAGCATCGACAACAGCGGGTGACATTCTGACTGTCTGCGGCAGCTTCGACACTACGGCGGAGCGGCAGCGGGTGACGCTCGCCCTCGGCCCGCTCGCTGCGCTCTGCACAATGCCGCTCATCACCTCGCTGGTGGATTACTGCACCGGCCCCGAGCAGCCCATCGCAAAGATCTCCAACCTGGGCGTCATGCGAGAGCGTCGCGAGTGGCTCACACGCGCGGCGGGAAAGATGGTGGACAACGGCACCTTCTCGCTGCACCTGCTGTGGCGGCTACCGCGCATCATCCTCGCCGGCGACGCACAGGAGCTCTCAAACAAGTCGCGGAACATTGAGGCGCGGCTTGGGGTGATGCGGTCGACGGTGCATTTGGACAAGCGCCACGGCAGCTGCGTTGCTGTGATGAAGGTGACGGACTTCGCCATTCCCGACATGCTGGAGAAGTCCGCCCTGCGTATGACGTACACGTTGAAGGACAAGACGGAGGATGTGTCAGTTGTGGTGGACAAGACAACCGCCCTGCTGCACCCGGCCGAAGTGGAGAAGCTGTTGTGGGTTCTGCAGCGCAACCTGCTGTTGCCCGTTGAGCACAGCGCTGCGGTGAGAGAGGAAGTCACAACAGAGGTGACGGCGACGACGGATATGATAACAACAGCAACACCCCTAGAAGAAGCAACAGCAACCACGCACCCGCTCCCTCAAGATCAGAAAGACCAAAAACGGCAGCCTGAAGACGTCGTGAATACAACCACTCTGCGGACAATAAGATTTAAGGTGGAAGGAGCTGTTCTTGCTCTGTACGATGTTGTTGGCATCAACATGCATACCGCCTCGCTTAGTGGGCTGAGTGTAGAGGTGTTGCCGAGTGGAGATGTAACCATGACAATACAATCCCTCAGTATGATGGAGCACTTTACCAACCGTAAGCTGGTGCAATCCCTCGGCGACAAGACAGTCACTGTCCGCAGAATAAGTGCTGAGAAGACCACAGACGTGGCGCTGGTGGACATGAACTTCATGCTCATCCCGAAGGCTCTGGGGAGTCTCCTCAATTTGCTTCTCTCTGTGCAGTTCCCACCACCGTTACCAAACAGTACTGCCACCACATCAACACCACCGTCTAGAACCAGGGAGAAGGCAAATGATGATGGCACCATCACTATAGTTGCTCCTGTTCCTGCTGTTGTTGCTGCGGATCATACTACTGCGCATGCTGCGACAGGCATCACATGCCGCATTAGTGTCTCACTCAATCGCTGCCACGTGGTGGCGGTGCAGGGCAGTCACGATTTGTTTGTTGCTGAGTTTGAGAACTCCATGGTAGATTGGCGCTCGTGCGCTGATGCTTCGAGCACACTCACCGCATCTGTGGGCTGGATCACTGTCCGAGACGTCTTCTCCCCTAACACGCGATACCCCGACATTGTGCGGCCGCTGTGCAATAGAGTGACAGATTCAACGGGGCAGTTATCAACAAGTGTTATTCAGTTTTATTTCGTGTCGATGCCGCCAAAGACAATTGGTGGTCAAAGAGACGATGACATCGACGACAACAACAACAATGGGGACAGCTGCAGAATGCCGTCGTACACACAGGAGTTGCGTTGCCGCATCTCCTCCCTCGCGCTCATGCTAGTGCCAGAAGTAGCGACCACCATTGCGCATGTCTTATCAGACGTGAAGGAACACATCTCTGATGTTAACCGCGAGAAGGCGTATGACTACGTTGCTGACAAGACAGCACAGACGATGCAGGAGCGACAGGAGCTGACACAGGTGGAGGTGACGCTCGATCGTCCGTCTATCACGCTGGTTGACTCTGCCACGTCTTCTAATCGGATTGAGGTGCTTCCGGGTGACTTTCTCGTGAGGAATAAACTCCGCGGCTCCAATGGGGAAGCAGCAACATCACAGAGTGATAGCCTTACTGAAGTATTCAGCTTGCACATTAGCCGCATGTCGTTAAACGTGTTGGGAGCCTCCGCCTTTAGCCACACCAAGAACATTGAAATTGAACTCTCACGAACCATCAGAAGCCCCAACCCTTCTGCCAATAATGCTGCTGCTTCTTCTATCACTGTTCCTGTTCCTGCTGCTGCGGCTGCTGGTGGTGCTGGTGGTGGTTCGCCAGGTGCTGATGCGATGAGCGTAACACTCCTTATCCCGATACTTACGGCAAACCTGACGCGGGATCAGCTGAACTCCCTGCTGGATGTGATTGGCGCTTTTAGGTTCTCAAGCCTGTTGACTATTCAGTCCGAGAGTGTAGCTGCAAAGGCATCTTCCACATCCCAGGCTGCAAGTGTCGCCAATCAAGAGGCCAATATAACGGCTGCCAGCGCCGCCACGCATGTCGCTTTGAGCACTTCGGCGAAAAGGCGGTCGTTGAACCCCTCACCTGGCCCACAGCAGATAGGCGGAGCTTCTGCTCCCACAACCGCTGCCAGCACAACGAACGCGCTGACGGTGGCAACGGGGGCGAGTGAAGTATCGTTAGCGGCAACGACAGGTAGTATTGGTGGTGGTGGTGGCGGGGGTAACAGCGGTAGCAACAGTTCAGCGACTTTTGCATTGACAATGCAGCGCTTAGAGGCGGATATCGATGGCATTTTCAAAATTGGCATCGACCAGCTGAACATAGAGTACTCATCGTTGCCTTCGGGTATCACCAGTACCACACTTGACCTAGACGCGATTGTACTGCAGCACCGCCTCGGTGCCGCTGGTGTCTTGGACCCTGCTTTCTTCACCATAAGGAAAGCTGTTCTCGCATCTAGATCGTCAGTCAACGCAAATGCCAACACACGGTTGATAGAGACGAACACGGACGTTACGCTGGAGTGTATGCGTGTAGCACTGTCCCCGCTGATGCTGATGGACACACGCGAATTGCTGTATGGGCCATTTTGCGCCAAAGTCCTGCGCGTTCCGTTGATGCCCATTCCTGTCTGCAGGCTGGTGTCGGCTGTGCATGTGCTGGACGCAGATCTGCTGTTGGACAGCACTCATATTCTCATAACGGCAAGCAAGACACAGTGCTCCTACAAGCTTGATCTGAACCAGCACAAACTTTATCTCTCTGGAGCCCCTGGTGCGCTGATTGTTCTCGATGACAACTGCCAACTGACTATTACGAATGGTACCATTTTGATTCCTGGCATGTACTCCGTGAGCTCCTTCGCCAGCTTCGGCCTCAACGCCGCGCTTTTTATGACAGACTCCTGCGTGGTGGAAAAGCGGGTGTACCACGACGGCGTACTCGTTGCGGCGTCGAGACAGCCGAGGAGGCGTGGCAGGACCAGCACAGACGCGACCGCCACAGTGCCGGGCAAGAACACATTGTTGTCCCCCACTGCCCACAGTAGGCTGCAGCAAGGGGCGGGGCTTGCCTCTCCACTTTCTGTTTCCTTTGTGACGCCTGCAGCAGGAACAGCAGGAGCAACAGCGACAGCGGCTTCCCCATTTTCCACTGAGATGGAGGAGGAAATCCACACGACGGTGTCTGCCCAATGCCACGAGATGAGTTTGCAGGTGATGTCCGAGGAGGTGGATGAGATCAGCGTTACGGTGACCATGTCGGCAAATTTCCTCTACTCCCATGAAGTTGAAAATGGCCTCCTTACACAGCGTGCCTCAAGATTGCGCTTCACGAACGTGTGCACCGGCGAGCACGACGAAAACACACTGCTGCCTACGACATTGGAGTTTGGTCTGTCAGGCGCTGAAACTGCCTGTATTGCCGGTAAACTGAGCGAGCTGCAGATGTGTCTGCGCATGGCGCTCCTGCGTTCCTTCGTCGAGCTAGGCAAAGACTTCATGACGGCCTTCGCTGAGGACACGTCAATTCAGCGGTATGGGCCGCAGGTACAACTCGAGAATGAAGAGCTTAGACCGCTGATGATTGTATCAACAGCAGGAGAATGTCGTTGCTGTGGCACCGCACAGGCTTTTGTGGGCGAGTCTGGGGATAGCCAAGGCGTGCTGTGCTACCACTGCTGCACAGGCCGTGGGGCGCTGCTCGCCACGGAGATTCGGTTTGAGATGCCGCTGGTGGACCTCGTGCTGCTGGGCGATGATGGGGGGATGCTGCAGCTGTACAGCTCGAGCGGCGTCACAGCTTGGGTAACGTCAGAACAGGAGTTCCAGGTGCAGCTGAAGCTGCAGGTGCGTAATTTGAACCACAACGCCGCAGTGTGGGAGCCGTTGGTAGAGAAGTTTGAGGGAACCATTGGGGGCAACATCTCATCTTCGTCCTTCTGGATGAGGGTGAATCGCTTTGACTATGTGCTGTCGCCGGAGAATGTGAAGCTTCTATTACAGCTTGCAGCCGACTTCTCACCCACGACGACGTTTCAGACACAACTACGCAAGAAATTCCGCAAGGACATGAGACGATTGCTCCGTGGCGAAGAGAAGTCCCCGCTGGGAGGTACAAGGGCGGCAGCCTTACCGCCAGTGGATCAACGGGCGAGCACGTCTACTGTTGAAGCAACAGCACCAAAGGCGGGCGGCGACGTTGTGTATGCCTTTCTCGTAGTGGAGAACTTTTTCACTGAGTCGCTCGAAATTGATGGCAGAACGGTGGAGCCGCGTGGAGGCGTATCGGAGTTTACAACGAGTGCGCGGTTCGGCGTGGTGCGGCGCCACGGCAGCAACACGAGCGGAGTGAAGATTGAATGGGCCAGGTCGCCGTTGTTTGTGCGCGGCGCGGATGCCATGATTGAGGTGAAAGTGGAACTCTCGCGCAGTGAACACTCAAACCACCTTCACCGTGTGGTGCGACTGCGCTGCTATCCTCTGCACTCCACCAACACGATCATTTGCTTCGAGAACAATGTGAGCTCCTTTATGGAGGTTGTTCGCGGGCACCCAGCCGTTGGCCCACAGGAGCGCTTTTTTTTCCAGCCGCAATTCCCACTCGAGGAGAAGCTGCACCTGCGGCCAGTGCGCAACACTGGCGGGGAGGAGTACGCAGCTGCAGTGACGGAGGATACACGCGATGCCCCGACACTGCGTACGCTTCTGAACAGTTCCTACACAACACTTGTCTGCTTGGGCAGTGAGAAACGCAATAGTCGCTTTGTCGTTAAAATGGTGGAGCGGCAGGAGGGCATGTGTGCTGGCGTGCCTGTTTTCGTCATCGCGATTGAGCCGCAGTTCCGCATCCACAACTATCTCCCGTACAGCCTCTTTATCATCATCTACGGAAAGGCCGTGTCGAAGCAGAAGCAGCAGCAGTCGAAGCCGCTATACAATGCAGTAGTAGAGCCGACAAAAAGCACCGACGTGATTCTCGGCGAGGCAACCCTCAATGACGTTGCTTTCCACCTCGAGGTGCGGCAGGCGGATGCGCAGGGCGGTGGCGCGGCCTTCACCACACCACAGAACGTGCGGCTCACGCGCCACACTGCACGTCTTAAACTTCTCGGCGGGACGAAGGGTACAGCAGAGATGCGCGTCAACGCACAGAGCGTCGGCAACAAGATTATCTTCACCACGCCGTACTCCATCGTCAACTTCACCCCACTAGACCTACATATGTGGGAGTGTAACGCTGCAGGGGAGTTGACATCGAGGACGATGACGAACTTTAGGCTTCTGCCAAAGAACATGCAGAGCGCCTACGCTGCAGCACCAATGGATGCGGAGTCCAAAGAATTCTTTGTGAACGTTGGCATTGGTGAGCTGCAAGGGTCTGCAGTGCCATTTCACGTGCAGGACCGTGGCATGATTACATTAGAGGCGAAAAAACCCACACCATCGCGTGGTGACAACGACATGGTGTTCCACCTCGTTTACTTGGTGCAACTCGACATGTGTGGCACCCGATTCGTGACGATTGTTCCACGCTGGGTACTCGTCAACCGCACCCCACGGCCGCTCTACGCCGCACAGGCGTTGCCATCGCCATTGGCTGAGTCTGCTTCTGCGCAAAGTAGTGGTGGTGGTGGTGGTGGTGCTTCCAGTCCGGGGAAACAGGCTGCAACTGCGTTCTCTAACACCAGCATCTCCGCCTTTGCCTCCCCTGCCTCCCCTGCCTCCCCTGCCTCATTTACGGGGGAACGGCGGTATGTGTGCCGCACAGATCAGGCGCAGATGGCACCGCCAAACTCTGCCACACCGATGTTTGCGATGGTCAGGTGCAGAGAGGAGGTTGGGTATAGCATCTTCTTGATGCAGGCGAAGAATGCCCCTCTGCATGGCGACCCTATAAGCCTGGAGGAGGTCAGCAGCACACCAATGGTGGCCTACGGGCTGAGCAGTACAGCGGACACTGAGGGGTCCGACATCATAGTGGAGACTTCTGTAGTCATTGACGGCCCATACACCTTTGTGACGCTGCAGGATCCGGCTGTGCCGCCATACCTCCTCCTTAACCGCACGTGCAAAACGCTGGAACTGTATGACTCGTATGGGCGACTGCTTGTCCGGGCCAATCCTGGATGCATCACCCCATTTGTGAAGGATCCACGCGACCGCACGAGCCGCACACGTGTTCGTTTTGCTGAAGAGGCTGCTGCACCACCACTACCACCACCACCACCAACAGCTGGTGCTCCTGCTACTACGACTACCACTACCGTGGACCCCAGCATTACCGTCCCACCCATCACTACTACTGCAACTACCAGCACCACCACAACGCCACCGACGACGAAAACCACAGCTGCGAGTACTACCACCACAAAGACAGAACCTGCAGCAGCCACCGGAGATAAGGGTCATGTGGAGGAAAGCCCCGCATCTGCGTTTGTAGACTTCAACTTCAGCCAAAGTATGACAGCGCAAGAAGCCTCCAATCCGCTGGGTGTGGAGTACACAGTCAGTCTGGGTCCATTTGGACAGCAGGTGATTGAAATTGTGCAAACTGCCAGCAATTTGGCGGGGCAACTGTGCACGTACCGGACAGCCCCACCAACCCCACTCGACGTCGTGCTGAACCTTTCCACTATCACTGTCTCCGTCGTGATGACGAGCATGGACGTGCTCTTCGCTGCCATTCTCGACACGCGTGTACACTTTAACAGACAGGGCTTGAAGGAGGTGGTGGAGTTCTCTGTCAAGAACTTCCAAGTGGATAACCAGACTGAGATCAAACCACGCTTTGAGGTGTGCCTCGTCGCGATTCGCGCCGAAGAAGATGGACCGTGCGTCTCGGCGTACGTGGAACGTACTGTTGTGCCTGCCAAGGCTCTTCTGTGCGTGGATGAGGTTCGCCTTGATGTTGTTCCTGTGGCACTTCGCATATCCGACAATGTTCTCATTGCCCTCACGAAATTTTCGGCACAACTCACTAAGGAGGTGCCCATGCGGCAATCTGCTCCGACTGAAGAGGAGCTGGCCGATATGGCCCCACTGCATGTAGGCACGATGAGCACACGCGTTATGGTAGATCGTATGGTGGTGAATCCCCTGGTGGTACGTCTGTGGTTCGAGCGTGACGACGATGGCCGCGACTTTATCCGTGAGCAAATGCAGATACGCACGGCTGCGCTCGTGTCCATGATGGTGCGTTCATGCGAGGATGTACAGGTGTCTATGCCGGGTCTTGTCATGCAGAGGCGGTCAAGCAGCGCTGCGCTGATGCTGCAGTGGGTGATGCAGGTGTACCTCGACGGGATCCGCCACGAGATCAGCGGCCTCCTCTTCCAGTACGCCTCCTCGCTGCCGCTGCTGGGGGCGCCGATCAAACTTGCGTCGGGTGTGGGCAGCGGTGCGATGAAGTTCTTCCAAGAGCCTATCGCCGGCCTCTCCACGTCGCCCAAGGCCTTCGCGATGGGGCTCGCAACCGGTTCCTCCGCACTGGTGTCGGAGGTCGTCGGCGGCGGCCTCGGCGCGGTGTCGAACCTCGCCAAGGCGGGCGCCGGCATCATGGGCGTCGCGTCCAG